ACCGCCGTACCAGCCAGCGCCACGACGGGGAAACGCCCCTCCCCTGGGCCAACTCCTGCCCCCCGGGAATCCCCCCCACTCCTATGCTCCCCCCCAGCAGACACACCAGTAGAGGTCTCTGAACACAAACACAGCCCATGCCCTAGGGGGTCTCCGTGCCCCATTGCTTTATTGGGGCGGGGGTGAAATCCAGCCGCCCCCCCCCACCCGCAGCGCGTCTTCAGGCTACTTGGTGGGCATGTTGAAGAGAGCCCGGAGGTCGAGCAGAGCCGTCCGGATGTTGGCCCCGAAGCGGTGAGCGTCCTGGGGAGGGGAAGACGGGACAGGTTAGCTGGGGGGGAGGGGGGGAGAAGAGGTTACTGCCATGGGGGGGGCTTAGGGAAGGAGGGAGGGACAGACAGGGGGCAGCGAATAGGCTCCCCCACCCCCATTCCTGGCCTCCACTCACCGTCTCTGGGCTGGAGAACTTGCAGGAGACGTGGAACGTGATGAGGTCTTCGCCGATGATGATGTACGACACCCCATAGCCGTTATCGTCCACCTGGGGGGCACAGAACCCAGGAGTCCTGGCTCCCAGCCCCTCCCTGCTCTAACCACTAGAGCCGGGGAGAGAACCCGGGAGTCCTGGCTCCCAATCCTCCTGATCTCACCACTAGACCCCACTCCCCTCCCAGGGCCAGGGAGAGAACCCAGGAGTCCTGGCCCCCAGCCTCCCCCCGCTCTAACCACTAGACCCCACTCCCCTCTCCCAGGGCCAGGGAGAGAACCCAGGAGTCCTGGCTCCCAGCCCCCCCTGCTCTAACCACTGGACCCCACTCCCGTCTCCCAGAGCTGGGAGAGAACCCAGGCGTCCGGCGCTTACCGGCCCGAAGCCGCCCCCGCAGGAGATGTAGTCGGGGTGGTTCTTGAGGTCGAAGATCTGAAGCTGCTGGATGGGGGTCTGGCTGGTTGACAGGCCCCACGGCTCTGACAGCACCTGCAAGGCAAGGCCAGGGCGGGGGCAGTCAGGGGGGCACAGTCCTGATCCCCTTTCCCCCACCCCGCCCCCTTCCTGCAATTGCCCTGCCCCCAAAGACCCACCCCCCTCTGCAAGGCCCACCCCTGGACCCCCCCACCACACACACCCAGCCCTGCCCTCTCGATCCTCCCAGTCTGCGCCAAGTCCTGCCCCTCCCCTTCAAGCCCCACCCCTCTGGTACCCCAAGTCCCACCTCCTGGGTCCCCAAGCCATGCCCCCTCCCTGACATCGCCCCACCTCCTTGGTCTCCCAAATTTTGCCCAGAGACTGACCCTCCCCTGTGCCCCTAAACCCTGCCCCTCCTAGAAATTACCCTTACCCCTCTTGTGCCCCCAAACCCCGCCCCCTCCTGGAGATTGCCCCCTCCCCCTCTTCAAGCCCCACCCCTGAGAACCCCCCCACACCCACATACCTCCCTGAGGAAGGGGGAGTCCACACCCAGGTACTTGGAGACCACGTAGAGGCAGAAGAGGTGTCGGTCGATGCCCGCGCCCGTCATGGCCCGGCGGTACAGGGCCTGGTGCTTGGCGGCCGCCACACGGAACAGGGCCAGACGCTGGGCGGCCTGGGGGGACGGACAGACGGATGGACACAAGAGTGAGAGGGGAAGGACCAAGGCAGCTGGCACAACGCTGGGGACAAGGCGAGGGCTTTGGGGGCAGACGCTGACCGGGCAGACAAGCCGAGGACTTTGGGGGCAGACGCTGACCAGGCAGACAAGCCGAGGGCTTTGGGGGCAGAGCGCTGGCCGGGCAGAGGCCCAGGGAGCACCAGGGAAGGAAGCATCAGCAGTTCTCTCCCTGGTGCATTCGGGGGCCCCGAGGGCCGCCCCCCGCTTTGCCAACAAACGGGACGGCGGCCGAGAGAGACGCCCAGCTCCACCACCTGCCTCTCCCGCCGGCAGGAACCCCCCGGAAGTTGTCCCCGGAAGCGGTGGGGGGCCTCGGCTCATCCAGACAGGGGCGGCCCCCCAGACTCCCCTGCCCCCGTCACCCCTCCCCACAGCCTCCGCCCCCCTTTTGCAGCCAGGTGCCCCGAGGTGGGAGGCCCCCGCTCCCCCCGACTCACGCTCTGGGAGGAGTCGGTCATGGCGCGGACGAAGCTGCAGGACTCGATGGAGCAGGAGCGGACGGTCTCCGTGCGCCCCTCGCGGAACAGCCGCGTCATGGCGGCCTCGTAGGTCAGGCAGAACTTCCCTTTGTCCTGCGGGGGGAAGGGGGGGCTTAGATGGGGACCCCTCGCCTCGCGTCGGGACGCGGCCCCTCTGGGGTGGGGCACGCTCAGGCCGTGGGGCGGGGCTGTTCCCAGACGTGCGCCAGCTGGACAAAGCCGTCGGGGCTGGGGCTGGCCGTGGGGCTGGGGCTGGCCGTGGGGCTGGGGCCTTACCCGGAAGTGCGCCAGCTGCAGGGCGAGCTGGATGAAGCCATCGGGGCTGGTGCGGCATTTCTTGATCAGCCCCTTGCCGAAGTCCTTGAAGGCGAACGTGTGGAAATCGACGTCGTCGGCTAGGGCCTGGGCCGCTCGCAGGGAGCCCTGGATCACCCGCTGGCACTGGGGGGGCAGGGGGAGAAGTGTCAGACCAGAGACCTGCCCCCACCAGCCCACCACTGCCTCGCCCCAGGCCCCACCCCTGTCTTCCTTTGGCCCCACCCCCATCACAGGTCCCGCCCTCACCTCCCTTTGGCTCCACCCCATCCCAGGCCCCGCCCCCGCCTTCCTTTGGCTCCACCCCCATCCCAGGCCCCACCCCCACCTTCTTTTGGCTCCATCCCCCTTTGGGACCAGCCCGCCCTGCCCTACACACACCACTCTCAGCCCTTGCCCCGCCCCGGCTCACCTCCTCGGGGATCTCCCATTGCAGTTTTTTGGGGTGGGGGGAGGCTGGGGTCCAGCTCCCCCTTGCAGTGACCGTCCCTGCCATAGCCCAGCTGGAAGACGTCTGTGGCCAGCGTGTACTGCGGGGAGGGGGAGCCCGGATGCCTGGGTTCTCAGCTGCCTGCGTC